CTGTTCTGGCCATGGCACCTTGCACTTGGTGGATACCCAGTGCTGGCACCCATGAGAATGAGGGAAGAAATAAATTAAATGATAGATCCAAACGGAGGAGGCCAGACTGTAACTTGGGACATTGCAGCTCTGCTGATTCACCTGCTAAGGAGAAGCTCTTCTGCTCAGTAGAAGCTCTTGCTGGCCGTGATAAATGGGAGATTTTTTTCAAATTGCTAGACCTCTGCCCCAAACTGTTAGTTTCCATGAGAAATGTGATGACAAAGACAAAAGGATATATTTACCAGATACAAATAGATCTCTTGACTTGAATTTATAATTTGGTGGGTTATTTTTCATGATTTTCAGTCATATTGGCCAGGGGCTTTTCCTGGAGTGAGTCTGAACATCTGTACTGTATAATGCTGAGTGCAGGGCGGGCACTGAGTGCAGGGCAGGCAGGAAGCAAGTGCTCATTACTATCTGTTAGGGACAAAGAGCCCCTAAAATGTGTTGCACTGTATACATCCTGATGAGGCCCTCCCAGGTGGGAAGCCAGATTTTTGCCTGGGAGGGGCAGGATATATTTACTCCCATTAGCAGCTGGTGCTCAGGACGTGGGCAGAATGTAAGGGGCTATGTATAGGCATTTGGCACCCAGGACAGGATGCCTGTTTCAAACAGCTTTGTAAATAAGCATTCGGGTTTTACCAGCCTCCACTCTTTTTAAAGCCAGTCTTCTATTCTTCCAGAATGTACTTGTATCTCATGTCTCCTCTATAAAGAACACTAAGGGCACCCTCCATTTATTGGGGATACAGGTCCTGGTAAATTTGGAGGCTCCCAGAGCTGGGGATGGCAGCTGTGGACACTGTCCTGCTTGGATTCCCCTGTGCTCCATCTTATCCAGGATGGCGCTGACGTTGCTGGTGGCTGCAGGGACTCTGTGTATGCCCAGATGCATCTCACCTAGGGGAAGCTTGGGTAGTAGAATACCTCTGAGATTTCCTGTCTTGGTGGATCTCAGGACCTGTCCACAGCTGCCTTCTCTTCTCGGATCCATGGGGCCAGCCTCAGGGCGAACTGGTTCCTTTGGGCCATCCTGTCCAAGCCTATGCCTCAGAGAGAACCCAGTGGCACCCAAAGTTTCCCTGAAGTTAAGGGGTGCCAGGGGGTCTGGGGGAGCCCCACTGACTAGAAGCTAAGCCTTTACCCTGGAGTGGGCAGGGTTCTCACAGGAAGGGTATCAATATTCTTTTACCAGGTGTACATTGCCCTCTTTCTCATGCTTACCTGAAACAAATCTCTTCCTTTATAAGTGAGTGAGTACCTCTTTGCTGCTTTTATAAGAGGCAAACAGTGGTTCAGGGAGTTTTCAGCATTTAAGTTCCAAAATCTTGTGAAGAGATTGACTCAGATGTCTCAGGATTCACTCGGCACCCGCTTTTGACATCAGCCGTGCTATTTTCACTAGCATCCATCTGGCACCTCAGGCTCCAAAGCTCCTTATGCCCTTGCCACAGCTGAGTTCTTGGTGGGACTCAAGGCCTTGTTCATTCTTGTGTCTCTAGGACTTAGGACATGCCTGGTGTACAGCAGGGGCTGTGAAATCCCTGTCGTGAATGTATGTGCATGTGGATCGTGTGTGATATTTCTTGTAGTTGATATAACTCTTTGGAAATACCAAGGCTCCTTATTTACAAGGTAAAGGCAGCACCAATGCAAATTTGATTCTGTAACCTAGGTAATGCACCTTTACACTGTATGGCCTCTGTGACATGACTCTTTTTTGATGGCTTTATACTTCACTTTTACTTCTCTATAAAAAGAAAGGTACCTCTCTTGAAGGTCACCCTCTCCTGTACCCTTATGCACTGATGTTTCCACGGTTCTCCCCTCGGTCTTCTTGATGTCATCCACCCCCTCGGCTTCACTGCTATGAATCCAAATCCACGTTTCGGATGACTTCCAAATCCATGTCTCTGTGAAGGCCTTTCTGGGCTTTGGACTCTGGACTCCCCGACCACTGAAAGTCTCCCACCGCATGGCTTGCATGTGTCTCAGACTCAGCACTGCGGAAGCTAAGCTTGTTATTCCCACCTGTGTCCTTGCTGCGTTCCCCATCCACCCAGTCACCTACGACACAGAAACCAGGCATCTCCCTCGATGCCTCTCTTTTCCATATCTTCTTTTTTATCTACCTCCTCAAATGCTCAACCATCTCTTACTTTTTTCTGTTGCTCTCTTCCGTGATCTTCTGGTCCTTACACCTTGTGCCTGTGGAGTCACTGTGACTTTGTTTTCCATCCATCTGTCCACGGAGGGCGCTCTTCCATCTCTGCCGCCACACTCTGCCAGTTCCCCGATGGTGCCGGGCTCCTCCTAACATTTGCCTTTCCTCAGGCCACTTCCAGGCCCAGGAGCCCTTCTCCCCATGGCCCACACTGCCTTGTCATCTTCAGCTTGAAAGTCAAACACTCCCCCAACATAAAGACTTTGCTTCAGTGTCTGCTTCCTTTGAAGTCTTTTTTTTTTTTTTTGAGATGGAGTTTTGCTCTTTTTACCCAAGCTGGAGTACAATGGCATGATCTCAGCTCACCACAACCTCCGCCTCCTGGGTCAAGAAATTCTCCTGCCTCAGCCTCCTGAGAGCTGGAATTACAGGTGCCACCACCACGCCTAGCTGATTTTGTATTTTTAGTGGAGATGGGGTTTCTCCATGTTGGTCAGGCTGGTCTTGAGCTCCCCCTTCAGGTGATCCACCCACCTTGGCCTCCCGAAGTGCTGGGATTACAGGTGTGAGCCACCGCACCCAGCCCCTTTGATGCCTTTTAAGGGCCCAGGGAGAATTAACTTTCTTCTCGAGTGTCCCCACTCAGTGGCCTGTGGGCTTTCCTCATAGCTCGGTGACACCTGGTTGCACTCATCTCTCTGCCTCTCTCCCTTCCTCACCAATTGCCTCTCCTCAGACTAGAAGCAGCCCTTGAGAGCATTTAAGTATTTCCAGCTCCCAGTATGGTGTCCGGAAAACAGCTACTACTCAAGAAGTATGTGTTGAATGCATGGACAGAGGGACGCACTCGAGCTGGATGCAGTAGGAGTGAGGGCTGGCGTTCTTTTGTGACTTACCTATGTTGGTCTCCTTTAAGCCAAGGTGTACACATCAGAGAAAAGAGGCAGTCCTAGAGGACAGTGGTGGGTCGCTTGTGGTTGAGGGTCTCATCTTACTTCCCGTGCAGTCAGCCTGCTGGTGAGGGGACTGCCTCTGTGTTGTGGCGTTGGAGGCAGGCCCAAGTATCCTTGCCTGCCATTGCTACGGAAATGTCCCCAGGGACACCTCCTGCCTTTGGGATCAGCACTGCATTCTCTAGGCTAACTTAATTCTGCAGCCAGCAAGTGTGACTGAGACTGTCTGTCTGGACCTTATCTGGATGAGATTAGGGTGTTGGATGAGGTAATGGAAGAAAAGAATTGGAGCTGCAGAATTCTGTACATCACTAGATGTTTTCTGGAGGCCTTCCCTGGCTTAGAAGTGACTGTGTAGTGGTTGGCAGTATCAGCATGAACCAGCTGCTGGCATTCTTGTCTATCAGTTGTGCCCGCCTCCAAGGGTTCCGCTGGCTTCTAAAGGTTCTTCTGAGACCATCTTCCGTGCCCCCATCATGCTGGGCAGTTCCTTTGTCTGCAGGTCTATTCAAGCTTCTTGGGCCCAGATCGGCTCAGATCGATTTCTTATCGTACCTGACCAGGATCAGAAACTATCTGGTTTCACCTAGTTGAGGGGACATTCTATCAAATACACAAATTACAATGAAAACCTGTGTGATGTTTTGATAGAGGCGAATCTTTCTGTCTCTATTGGAGAGGAGTGTTGAGGATGGGATGTATGCTTCCAGCTGTAGGCTGGAAAACTGTGTGTTCTACATATTTCATATTATTTATTTACATTGTAATGTTTAATTTACTTACATTTAAAATTTTTATTTTTCTATTTTAATTATTGCTTTTATGCCTCTCTCCCCCTTCCCTCCCTCTCTCCCCCTTCCCTCCCTCCTTCCTTCCCTCTCTCCCCCTTCCCTCCCTCCTTCCGTCCCTCTCTCCCCCTTCCCTCCCTCCTTTTCTCCCTTTCTCCCCCTTCCCTCCCTCTCTCCCTCCCTTTCCTTTTCCTTTTCTTTCTTGACAGTCATTTTGTCACCGAGGCTGGAGTACAGTGTCAGGATTACCACTCACTGCAGCCTTGAACTCCTGTTCTCAAGCAGTCCTCCTGCCTCAGCCCTCCAAGTAGCTTGGATTATAACAACACACCGCTGTGCCTGAGGGTTTTTTTTTTTTTTTTAAGAGACACGATCTCGATATGTTGCCCAGTGTGGTCTCAAAATCCTGGTATGAAGTGATTCTCCCGCCTTGGCCTCTCACAGTGTTGAGGTTACAGGCATCAGCCACCACTCCTGCCTCATATTATTTCTTAACCTTTACTCTGGAGGTTACTAAGGGTTTGCTGATCCTCTTGGGACTTTCAAGTTATGATGAAATTGTGGTTGATGCCAGCAAAAGAATCATTCTTGTAAATGAGCAAGTTGTAGATTATAGTAAGTATAATATTACATCATTGGTTTCCAAGATTCTCTGGTGATTTTGCCTTCACTTAGCCAAAAATAGGAAAATGCCAACGAAGTTGTTGCTGTTTGATTGTAGGTCCAAATAAATTACTTAAGACCAGAGCTTAGTGAAGTATCATTTACACAACAATGAGAAGAGTGACAAGGCATTTAAGTCATTATTTTGATTGGTCTCTTTTGACCAAAACAGGCAGATGTTGCCTTTTCAATTAGCAAGAGGCTAGATCTGTTTCAGAAGACCATCTGTGTGCATAATTGTAACCTCAGTGTCATTCAGGACTGCTCTGTACTGCCTCCCAGGTTGTTTTCTTCTTTCCTTTCTCTGTCTGAGCCTTTAAACCAGGTGATAATATTTTCTTCAAATGGCCAAACTCATGTATGTTTTTATCATTTTTCATGCAGATTTCAGCAACGTCCCTGATATCACCACAGGTCTGAAAAGGAGTCAGACAGATGGCACTCTGGATCAGGTTTCCCACAGGGAGAAAATGGAGCAGACATTCAGGGTAAGATACTGGCCCAAATTGCAAACCTAGACCCGGGCAGGCAATGTTAGTTCCCACCTTTACCCGAGGTGAGAGGAGGAGATGGAGTTATCTGTGTCTATGTCCAGCAGTTGATACAAACATATATATTTTAAGAAACCAGCTTCTTTATGTATGTTTTCAAAGTGAAGTACTAACTGAAACCATTTACTTCAGCCAGACCTCCTCCGTGACTTCTGGTGTGCCAGGGAAGAGCAGTGCACACCGTGCTGTTGATACAGAGTGTTGGTTTTGCTTACGGATTTTGACAAGGAAAACTTTGTCAAAAGGTGTGAATTACTGTTCTCTTTCTTTCTTGCATCTTTTTTTTTTTTTTTGGCTGAAGATAAATTATTTTTGGAATGTTGTCATTTTGTGTGAAGAAATATATATAACATACAATATGCGTTTTTTACTGTTTTTAAGTGTATACTTCTGTGGCATTAAGTATATTCACATTGGTTTGCAACCACCACCATCTAGAACTTTTTCATTATCCCAGACAGAAACTCTGTACTCCTTAAACAAGAACTGTTTCTCCCACTTTCCACTCCCTGATAATGTCTGTTCTACTTTCTGTCTTATTTGTCAGTTTCTAGGTACCTCATATATTAGTGGAATCACAATATTTGTCCTTTTGCTTCTTATTTCACCCAGCATCATATCTTCCAGCTGAGTTCACTTAGCATCATGTCTTCTGCGTTCATCCATGTTGTAGCATGTGTCAGACTTTCACTCTTTTTTATGGCTGCATAATATTCCACCATACGGATACACCATATTTTGTTTATCCATTCATCTGTTGATAGACGCTTGGATTATTGCTGCCATGTGGCTATTGTGGGTAATTCTGGAGTGAATGTTGGTGTAAGAGTTATCTGCGTGAATCCTTGTTTTCAGGCTGAGGAGAGGAATTGCCAGGTCCTGTGGTGATTCCCTGTTTAGCTTTTTGAGCAACAGCCCATGGTCTCCCACAATGCTGCACTATTATTTGACATTCTTGACAACAATGTAGGAGGTTTCTACTTTATCCACATCCTTGGTAGCATTTGTTACACTCCATTCCTTTCCTGCATTTTTAACTGTTTGTTGTCAGCTACCCTTTTAGAAGTGGTCTGATTAATATAGTCTGTGTTAATATCCAGTCCAGTTTTAATCGATTTTGAAATTATAAGCCTTCTATATTTGTTTTTGGCTTAAATACAAAATAAGAATGGAAGAAATAGAAGCAATGATAGGTATTTGAATGAAAGTTATAAAGTGGAATGATGTCTCAGTTGAGTTTAAACTAACACTATCACAAGATTCTTAGGGTGTCACCTCACCGGACGGAAGCCTGTGTGTCAGCGGTGCCTTTGCCTGCGTCGTGCTCGGGCCCGCTAGGCCCACTCGGCCTGGTAGGCTGTGCTCGACTTGCGCTACCCGCCTGCATCCCATGCCTGCCAAGGGTGAGCAGAGTGGTGAGGGGTGTTTGAGTGAGCAAGTGTGGGGTCCGGCCACCGTGCACAGCCAGGCGTTCTGGCTGTGGTGGGGCAGGCAGCAGCTTCAGGCTCTAGCATGGGCGCCAGCTCTCTGCGAGGCTGTGGCTGGATCATGCATAGTACAAGAAGCTTCCATGGCCAGCACCAGCACCTGGAAGCTTGGAGATGCCAGGAACTGCTGAGCCCCAAAGAGGGTGGCACAGCCCTGGTTCAGGAAGCTCCTAGGTCTGGGCTCCCTGAAGGGCCGCAGCTCTTCTCTCCTTCTCTCTGCTCTCCTTGTCACCCATAACTTGTGGCGAGCAAGGGGTGTATTTCAGCCCTGTTTGTGTTGTAGCTCTTTCAGCCCTGCCGTTAGTCAGGTCCTGAATTCTTGTCTCATGTGCAGGAAGAATGAGGTATGTGGACAAGGGGAGGGTGAGCAAGATGAAGAGGAGCTTTGTTGAGCTATAGAACAGCTCAGAGGAAACCCACAGTGGGTAGCTTCTGCCCGCAGGCTGGTCATGCTGCAGAGTGTTCACCTCTCAGTAGAGGGCAGACCCAGGAGTGGGTAGCTCCTCTCCACAGCTGGTTGTCCTGTTGTCTCTTTGAGTCTGGCTGAGTCATGGGCTTCAGAGGGGAGGAAGTGATTGGTCCATGGCCATGGAAAGGCCCACCAAAAGCTCCATAAGTTTCCACTCTGGTCTGTGGGACTGGCAGCCTGGCCCCCAGACTTTAGACCTTCCCTGGCTTGAAGGTGGGGCTTTTCTGGGGACCCACCCCTTTCCACCCACAAGCCTGTCTGCCTCCTGCCACTCTTCAAGGTGCCCAGGCTGTTTGTGCCAAGGGGTGCTTGCAGGCCAGGGCCAAGCAGCCCTCAGTCCCCCTTCAGCCTGGTTCCCGTGTTCATTGCTGCCCGAAGTACAGCAGGGTGCTGGTGTGTCAGCCCTGCCCTGAGCGTGTGCACACCTGGCTGGGTTGCAGCAGTGCCTGGGCTCAGACTCAACTTTGTTCCACAACCATAGTGAGTGCTGGGAGTGGGGAGAAGCCAGGCAGTGGGAGCAGGCCACTTCTGAGCCTGCCAGGACAGAGGGGTGCTTTCCAGGACCCTGAGAGTACAGAGATGCCTGAGCTCACAGTCACAAGTTAGACAGCTGCAGCAGTGCCTGGGAGGGCGGAGCTTCTACCTGCTCCTGGCCCTCAAGAGCACAGGGATGTATAGTTCTGGAGCCTCGGCTGGGCAGCTACAGCTGTGCCCAAGGATCATAAGGCTCCTGCCCTGCCATTTCAGGGTTGGGCAGGGCTTCCATATTCCCGGCTCCTGCTAGCTCCATGGAACACACAGCCCTGGCCGTGCCTCCCCCATGCAGTTGGCATCATGGCAGTGACTGTTCCAGATGGGCTGTGGCTGCCATCAACACCACCAGGAGCCAGGCCATGGCGCAACCATAGGAGGAGCCACGTGGGATACCTTTTGGGGGTTGGTGACATCCCCTGTGTGTGGCGGGGGGCACCAGGTTAGAGCCTGCCAGCTTCCAAAGGGATACGAGCAGCCATGGGCTCCCAGCCTCCCCTCTCTTCTCCCTTTCCCTTCCTCACTCCCTGCTCCCTTCTCCCATTTTCCATGCATCTTCTTCCAAGATTCTCCTCCATCTCCTCCTCATTCCCGATGCAAAGCAAATCCTCAGCTGCCTTTGCTGGCCTGGTTATGTCCCAGTTTGCAATTTATTTTACTAAACTGCAATTCATCAGCATTTTTAGTCCTTCTCTGTCTAGTGGGTTATTCGTTTTTGGGAACTCAGTATCATATCTAATATTCATTAGCTTTTTTTATGAAGCAGTGGATCCTAGACCATCAAATAGATGTGTTTTGATAACTTTGTCTTAAATTATTTTAAAACATTTTAATAATAAAATAGACATGGGGTCTCACTATGTTGCTGAGGCTGGTGTCAAACTCCTGGGCTTGAGAGATCCTCCCGCCCTGGCTTCCCCAGGTGCTGGGATTACAGGTTAAGTCACTGACCTCGCCTTAAAATTTTTTAGAAAATCGGGCCAGGCGCGGTGGCTCACGCCTGTAATTCCAGCACTTTGGGAGGCCGAGGCGGGTGGATCACGAGGTCAAGAGATCGAGACCATCCTGGTCAACATGGTGAAACCCCGTCTGTACTAAAAATACAAAAATTAGCTGGGCATGGTGGCGCGTGCCTGTAATCCCAGCTACTCAGGAGGCTGAGGCAGGAGAATTGCCTGAACCCAGGAGGCGGAGGTTGCGGTGAGCCAAGATCGTGCCATTACACTCCAGCCTGGGTAACAAGAGCGAAACTGCGTCTCAAAAAAAAAATTTTTTTTTAGAAAATCAAATCCTCCTGAAACACTGATGGAGCAAGGCCATGTGTTTAAGTTAAGTGTGCCTGTGGGGGCTCCGGCACAGGATGGCAGCTTGGGGAACCTCACTTAACACCATGAGGGATAATGACTTCTCCTCTCTTATGATCTGCTTGAGTTACACATCAAAGCTCTTAAGAAGGAATTGAATTTTTTTCCAAAGTTTATCTTATTTTAAGACTCAGCAAAATAGATATGCAAAAAGTTAGCATGTTAAGGCCATTGGAAACTTAGCAGTTTTTAGCAGTGCCTGTTGTAACTAAGCAAAACATTTACAAAGTGAACATCGGAGCATCAGACATTTAGAAGAGGAGCAAAAGCTGCAATCAGGTTGAAACTGGGGCCATCTGAGCTTCAATCTTCATTGTTAAAAGTGGAGAAAGGTCTCTTTTTTTTCTTTCCTCTCTTTTAAACCATGCATTATAACTTTGAAAAAAAAAAAAGTGGAGAAAGGAGAAGGCAAATAACACCAGAGAATGCAGAAGAAAAGAATTTATTGGAAGAGTATGAGCATGTCAATCATGTGCTGTAAAATTCTTCTTAAGTCTAACGTTGTTATCACCTTACCTTTTTTAGATACAAATATTTTTATGTATAATGATGGATTTCAGTACTTTTTTTTTTTTTTTTTTGAGACAGAGTCTCACTCATTCACCCAAGCTGGAATTCAGTAGTGTTGTCTCAGTTTACTGCAACCTCTGCCTCCCAGGTTCAAGCAATTCTTCTACCCCAGCCTCCTGAGTAGCTGGGACTGCAGGCATGTGCCACCATGCTTGGCTAATTTTTGTATTCTTTTTTTTTAGTAGAGACAGCGTTTCACCATATTGGCCAGGCTGGTCTCAAACTCCTAACCTCGTGATTTGTCTGCCTCGGCCTCTCAAAGTGCTGGGATTATAGGCATGTGCCACCACGCCCAGCTGGATTTTAGTACATTTTTTGAAATCTTCATTAATAACCTAGCAGTTACTCTGTTTCCATGTTTTTTCTTGCCTGAAAAAGAAGAATCAGTGGCCAACAAAAGTAAAAACTGTGGTGGACATTAGTGAAAAGAAATTTCAAATTTAAGAATTACATTATTTTCTGTGCTGAGGGTTTTGTTTTGTGTTTTAAACCTCTTGGAAACATCAGGTTATGTTT